ACAGGGTCTCACTCTGTAACCCAGGCTGGAGTACAGTGGAAGAATCAGTTCACTGGAGCCTTGAACTCCTGGACTTGAGCAATCCTCCCACCTCAGCCTCTCAAATACCTAGGACTAACTATTGGCCACCACACGTGGCTAAGTTTTTAAATTTGTGTAGAGAAGGGGCCTCACTATATTGGCCAGACTAGTCACAAACTCCTGGTCTCAAGTGCCTTAGCCTCTCTAAGTACTGGGATTACAGCCCTGAGCCACCTGTGCCTTGCCGAGGAAATAGTTTTAAAGGAATCATAGCCTGGAGGAAGCAAATTCCTACACTTAACTATTTAAGCTGGCCTGTGAGCAAGTCCTAAATGATCATAAATGTGAACCTCCACTTCAGGAAGAAACACTGATTTCTGGCACCAGTCTGAGGTTAGATTCCCTTTTATCTCCCAAACACCAAAGCCTTCCTGGGGCAGAGGGGAGACAGAGTTCAGAGTTGACTAGAGAAAAGCTTTGGGGTGAAGAAAGGGATCCCCTGATAATAAACACAGGCCACATACCCAGAGACAGAATGGTGACGTAGGCAGGGCGGTCGGAGCGCAGCAGGGAGTGTTCCCGGGCCTTGTTGAGGGACGTCTCCTTGTCAAACACGCCCTTCACGGGCCCCACCACAGACTCAAAGCCGTGCATGCGGAAAGTGAACGCCTTATGGGGCTGGCTGTACCTGTACCGTTCCTACCAAGAGAAAACAGAGGAGCGGCTCCTAAGACAGAATTAACGCGGTTGTCTCTAGGGCTCTGTTATGATAAGGGGATCCATGTGCAGAGACTGAAACGGAAAGGAAACACGTGATCCCACTGGAAATATTGAGCCAACCACCGTAGGGAATGGATGGTCCTCAGAGTCAGTCACTGAGCAATGGAACAAAGATACAAATACAAATGCATTGTGCCACCTGGAAAGAAAAAGCAGAGTGCTTCTCATTCCCTTTCCTTACCCTGTTTTCAACCTCAACAAGCAATCCCAACCAACAAAGCATCGAAGGTGAAGGATATGAATTTCCTCTAAAAATGTGGTCTCAAGGAGAGTGAGGCTCACAGCTTCTCTCTGTACAGTTCAGAGGCAGTTTTATTTATTTATTTATTTATTTATTTTGAGATAGAGCCTCACTATGTTGCCCTTGGTAGAGTGCTGTGGTGCCACAGCTCACAGCAACCTCAAACTCTTGGGCTTAAGTGATTCTCCTGCCTCAGCCTCCCAAGCAGCTGGGAATATAGGTGCCCGCCACAACACCCGGCTATTTTTTGCAGTTGTCATTGTTGTTCACATGGCCCACACTGGGTTTGAACCCGCCAGCCTGGATGCGGCCAGAGCCCTACCCATGGAGCTACGGGCTGCCACAGAGGCAGAGATTACAATGACTTCCAGCTATTTCTTACCTGCTCCTGGAAAACCCGTTTCTCCTCCCCTGTGCTGGGCCGTACCACATAGTCAGTTCTTCTGGAACATAAAGAATTTTATGGTAACTCTAGGGGCTAATGTGGGTCACAGACTCTATCACTCCTTTTCCAGAACCATTCCCTCTGCAACAGTGAAAAATGTACACCTACTAAGTATCAAGTTCTTACAAAGGAGAAAAGTCTTGGTAGCTCCTACCGAGTGACTCCTGTTGGTATTCCCAAAGTTACTTGGTTCTTAAAAATCCAGAAAGGTAGTGGGCATAGTGGCTCATGCCTATAATCCTAGCATTAAGGAGAGCAAGGTAGGAGGACTGCCTGAGGCCAGGAGTTCAAGGCTAGCCTGGACCAACACAGCAATACTTCCATCTCCACAAAAACTTTTAAAACTTAGCCAAGGTGTGGTGATGTGCACCTGTAGTCCCAGCTACTCAGGAGGCTGAGATAGGAACATCACTGGAGCCCAGGAGTTTGAGATTGCAGTGAACTATGACACCACTGCACCGTAGTCTGGGCAATAGAGCAAGATCTCATCTCAAAAGGAAAACAGAAAGAATTGGGTAGGTGGGAAAGAGGCTGACATTTTTACCTACCATTTTCAGCACTGCTGCTAAGTAAGTGTACTCTAAGCACAATAAAAAAATTCAGCCTCAAGGAACAGGAAAAGCACCCAGAAGTTGATTCTATACCCCTGTGACATGAAACAACAGTTCTGCCACACGGAAGGTGGGCCTCTGTGTGGGTATTTGGACATCTGATCTCAGAGCCACGCCAGGCTAGAAACAGTAACAGGAAAGCAGCTGATATGAAGAGCTTGGGAACAGGAGAGAAGGGATCTGAACTCTGGCCAGTGCACTGCCACTAATCTTCAGCAAGTCACTTAAACTCATGCCTCAGTTTCTTCACTGGTAACACGAGAAAGGTGAACTAACAGGAACCAGGGAAGGGTGTCCCCCTACAAGGCAGACCGTATGCCCCTTGGAGGCTCTGCTGCACAGTCCTGGCCGCTGTCAGGAAGCCCTTCCACAGCGAGCCCCTCTTACAAAAGGAGTGTGCAGCCCTCCTCGGTGTGCTGAATGGAGCAGGCAGGAATCAGCTGACTCCTGGGATCTACAGCTCTCACACACACAGAGCCATCAGCAAAACCATGGCAGTGCCTTACACTGGGATGTCAGGGCACACCACCCACCATGAGAGTGTCATACTCACACCCGAGGGACAGGTGTTGTGGCATCTGAGCTGTCTTCGTTTTCTGGCTGCAGAAAAGGAAAATATTAACAGGTAAATGGACTAAAGGATTCTGGCAAACTTAAAGGTCCTGGAAACTGAATGAGAAAGAGCCAATACTCTTAAAAAAGCATACCTTACAGAAGGCCTGGTCTTTGGTCTCTAGCCACAGCTGGAAGAGGGCAGCTAATTCCTTTTCATTATCTTGGGATTGCCCTATCAGAGGAACAAAACAACAAAAAACAAATGATCTAAGGTATTGCCAAGAATCCCACTTTCTCCACACTTGACATGTCTATCAGGAGAGACCCCACCAGGAGCTGTGGGAGTGATCCCTCCCCCCTCTGCTACCCTCCCCTTCACAGTACAAGTCTGCCCAGGCCACCGCTCCCGGGGCCACCTAATTAAATCATTTTCAGTAGGCGCTTGCTGAGTAGCCACCGCGTGGTAGGCACTGCCTGTAAAGCTGGGGGTTTTCAGTGAACTCAGTCTCTGCCCCCATGGGGTTTATAACCAAGTGGCGAGAGAACAGATACTGAATTAAATCAAATTCAAATGGTAGCAGGTGGCCAGGCATAGTGGCTCAGATCTGTACTCCCAGCACTCTAGGAGGCTGAGGCTACTGAACTGTTTGAGCTCAGGAGTTCAAGACCAGCCTGAGCAATAGGGAGACTCCATCTCTATTAAAAACAGAAAAACTGAGACAAGAGGGTTACTTGAGCGTTAAGAGCTTGAGGTTGCTGTGAGCTATGCCATGCCATGCCACTCTACTCAGGGTGACAGAGTGAGACTCTGTCTCAAAAAAAAAAAAGGCATCACAAAGGGTATTACGATAGCATACACCAGGATCCCGTTCCTGCAGGGGAGACAAGGCTTCTGGCCAGGGAGGGCACAAAGGCATTAAAGAACTGACAGAGCAGTTTGCTTTTCCTTGAGGCAGGAAAAAGCTCTCCTTCCCCTGGCCTGCCCAGAAAGAGACAGACACAGTCCCCAGCCTGTCCCCGCCACTCTCACATCACTGCTTAGACTCCGACTGCAGCACTCGTCTCCTGAGCAGGCTGGCGGCCACCAGACCAGCACCAGCCAGGTCTGCTGGTGTACAGAAGGTGTGTCCATCTCTTCAGACAATGTTCACAAGGATACTCATCTTTATTTTCTTTTTTTTTTTTTTTTTTGAAACAGAGCCTCAAGCTGTCCCCCTGGGTAGAGTGCCATGGCATTACAGCTCACAGCAACCTCCAACTCCTGGGCTCAAGCGAGTCTCCTGCCTCCGCCTCCCAAGTAGCTGGGACCACAGGCGCCCGCCACAACGCCCGGCTATTTTTTGGTTGCAGCCATCATTGTTGTTTGGCGGGTCCGGGCTGGGGATTCGAACCCGCCACCTTAGGTGTACGTGGCTGGCGCCTTAGCCGGTTGAGCTATAGGCGCCGAGCCCTTTATTTTCACTAATGTACAAAACCACCAATACCACCAGCCACAGAGAGCTCTGAGCAGCAGCAGAGCTGAGCAGTTCCAACAGGAAACATCCAACCCACAAGCTTAAAACACTTTCTGGCCCTAGAGAGAAAGTTTATCCCCACCATGGCTACTCCAGCCGCTAGCCCATCAAAGCCAGGAAGCAGTGTGCAGTCAGCCGTCACCAGGCACCTCAGCTCACATTTAACCCTCATTACTTCTCTAAGGAATCTCTCACTTAAAAACTCACAATCTCTTCCCCATTCAGCAATCTTTAGGTCTTTATCTTACTTAACCTTTTATGAATGACAGGGGAACAACTGCTCCCCACTTCTTAAGCCCTGGTCCCATGGCTTCCAAGACTCAACGTTCCAGGGCTTTCCTCCCGTCCACAGGCACCTCCCGTCCACACACTCTCCACTGAGCTCCTCTGCCACAGAGTTGCCCAAGGCTCACTTCTTGGCCCTCCTCCCTTTACACTCCCCCTACACACATCCTTTACTATGCACTGGCCAACAGCTCTCCACCCCGTCTCTGGTCTGAATTCTAAACCCACACTTCCTACTGTCTATTCAACAACTTCACTTCAGTACCTCCAAGGCAGCTCCAATCCAGCACGTCCAACACCAACCTGCACCCTCCCTGAGTCCAGTCTTCCACAGCTGCCTACTCAGCAAATCCACCTCCCTCCAGCAGCTACTGATCCAGAAGATGCCGGGCGCTGCTCGCCCTGCACTCCCCATAGCCAATTTACAGCCACTGCAACTCTCAAATCTGTCCATTCTCTCCGCCAGGTCCGATTCCCCCACACACAGGCGGGTGAGAACCCTCCCCAGCACCTGACAGGTGCTGCTTTCTCCACCTGGAGTACTCCCCCCCAACCTGGTGCTAGGGTCATTGACCTCTGCTCAAACACCACTTCCTTGGGAGGCCCTGCCCAACTCTCCAGACTATTCCTAATGAACTCCACATTTCTGGCACTTCAAGAAAGGATCAGTTTGTTACTTAATCCGACTGAGTTTTGGTTCCCCAAACAAATCTTTAGCCAGAGGAGGGAAGCACGCTGATTTGGGAATCCCTTGATTCCCCTGCACCTAACAGGGTCCCTGACGCGTGGAAGCAAATACACAGGGTGAAGGAGGGAGGGTGACACTGCTTTCACGGCCCGCTCGCCAGAGTGAATCCTTACAGACCACGTCAGAGTCCCAGTGGGAGACCAATTCTAAATGTCCCTCCTGTGACAGTGTCCAGGTGACTGACACCAGGTTATTTCAGTCACGTTATGACACTACATTCAGTGGGGCTTTGTAAATTTAAAACACAAATAAGCTGTCTGTTCTTTAGAAAGGGCTTATTTGGAGCTGCCCAAGATCTTGTTGCACGTCATCCTCAACAGCAAAGCCTATCTTTAGGAAATGAAAACAACTATATCACAAATTAATCCAAAATCATTGGGATTAAGATTAAGATAAATGCTGATGCTACTGCAAAATGTCCCCGCAGTCTGAAACATAACTTTTACCTGACAACAGTCCAACTGGGGAAAGGGGGAAACCCTCACCTTTATTAAAAGTACAAAAGAGGGGCAGCGCCCGTGGCTCAAGGAGTAGCACGCTGGCCCCATATGCCAGAGGTGGTGGGTTCAAACCCGGCCCCAGCCAAAAACCACCACCACAACAACAAAAACAAAAAAGAGTACAGAAGAGGTCTTTAAGGATTCCTCCAAGGCTAATTCCTGGCTTCTTTTTGCCAATATGCTGGGCTGCACTGACTGGAAGGCAGAAGCAGCTAAGAGAAGAAAATGAAGGAACAGAAAACCTACTATTAGGGGCGGGTGATATGGATTACTCACCAAGCAATTTCCACTGCTGGGTCTTCTCTTTGAATTCAACAAATGGAGAGAAACTGGAAGGAACAGCTGCAAGAAATGGAGCACAAAACAAACCACACAAGTCAGAAGGGTGCTGAACTCGGAACAAATACCCGGCATCCCTGAGCTCGGAGACAGCCTCCAAGCGTTCCATGGTGTGTCAGGAAGCTGGGACCTCCGAGGCAGAAAGGCATCAAGGATCAGACGAGCAAAGCTACAGTTTACTATTAGAATTAATTAGACAAGGAGGAGAGAAAACACTAACCCCACAAAAAAGAGCACCTCACCTCGGCTCTCTCCGGCAAGATACTGCAGGGCTGGGGACACCAGCTCGGCCCAGCTCGGGGCCGCAGAGAACCAGCTATTGAGGGAGCTGGCTGGAGACGACTGCCAGTCCAGAACGCGCTCCTCCAGCTGAGGGGAAGGAAAGGCAGGGCCCCGTTAGCTTTTTCTTCTGCACCAGCAATTCCACAAACATGCCAGGGCAAGCTGGAATAAGCATATTTGTCTAGTGTTTGCCCAAGTTACAAAACTACACAGTGTCAGGAGAAACCCAGAGTTCTGCTCCTTAAGCTATAGATGAGTAAAGATTTTTGACAGTGTATAAACTTACCAGAGGAAGGCTAGCCTGACTCTCTAGCAGCAAGATCTCTAACAGAAGGGAGAAGAAGCTGGAAGATATTTCATTGATTCCAAGGCAAGGCTTGAGGTCTTCAAGGGGCCTAATGAGGGAAGAAAAATATAAGATCCAAAAGGCCAAGAAACACATCCCTATTGGTTCAGGCCCTCAAGCCTCTTAGCAGTCCTAAAAGAGCTCAAGAAAGCAGCATCCCACACACTTTCCCACGGGATCCCTGGACTCGGAGCTTACAGATCGACACATTCACAACAAGCCCAGGGGGCGGGTGTAACCCTGAGCATCCGCAGGGTGACAGGCGCTCATCCCCGCGGCTCACTTACTCCTCCTTGACAGCAGAAGCAGCCAGTGGAGACGGGGCCTGGGACAGGGAGGCGGCCCCTTCAGTGCTGCTCAGGGGCTCACTCAGGTCCTCTGCCTCTGATTTGATCATTTTTATTTTCTTCTTCTTCTTTTCCTCTTTTTCCTTAACCTTTTTTTTAAGGACAGCCAAGTCATATAGGGCTGGGAACAAAAGTAACACACATAACAGAATTGTACTCCCTGCATGTTGAAGTTAAGAGGGTCTTATCTGCATGTTCTTTTCCCAAGGCCCTAGTCAAAGACAGGAAAGTCTCGGGAATATGACATTTAGATTTTAAAATTCAAACTCAGTGATTTGCAGCTTAATTTTAATATCTACAAAGAGCCAATGATCTATCATACTGATTTTAAATGTATATCCCACCTCTAATTCCACAAGCAGCAATAACAAAACAGAGGTTATCTGCAGGAAGGAGCTATGACTTCATCTGCTTCTGCCACAGGCACGGCCCGTGCAACTTAACATCCGTCAGGTGAAGCCTACCTAGCAACACCCACGTCGCTTACCTGCTAGAGATCCCTTCCTGCCAGCGTTCACGCGAGTCATGATGTCACTGAGGGTCAGGTCCTCTGTCAAAAGGTCGGGGTGATCCTAGACATGATATTCAGAGACCTGGTTGTGGAGGCTCCCCAAAGAAGCAGAAACTGATGGCAACTTTGCCAATTTACCTAACAGCTATAATTAGGTGTTAAATACACTTGAGGAAATCATGTTGAATTAAAAACATACAGAGATGAAAACTACTCTTCTCCATATGGTACACAGAAGCCCGTTTCAACCTCTCCACTGCACAGCACGTACAGTTACAAAGCTCTTCCGGGGCCCTTCTCTCATGTGCTCCACAGCTCAAAGTGGTATATTTTACAAACTCTGAACATGAGGTTCAGAGCAGCTAAGGGACCTGCCAAGTACCACAGGACCCGGAAAAGACAGAACTTGGCACCGACTACCAATGTGGGACTCGTCCCAGGTCATCGCTCTGCCTTAGGACTCTTTTGTTGGAAAAAGATATCATTTTTTCTCCACTAAACTCTCAGCTTCCTTGACTTGGTAAAGTGGGAAGAGCACCGGGTCTGACCACGTGCTGACTGCGGGGCTGAGGATAAGCTCCCAAACCTCCCTGAGCTAGTAAGGTGGAGACAACACGCCCCGCGCTGGATGGTGCCATGAAGACTGAAGCTGCCGAGAGGCTGAGCGCCTCACGACGTCAAAGCACAAGCTTCTCTCGCTGTGAGCTGACGCCCGCTCGCTGGCTGCTCCTGTCCCAGCCACGGCCAGGCGGAAGCAAGCACGCAGAGGGAGTGACGACAGCCCTTCCTCAGGACAGCCAGCCAGGGACAGGGACAGAAACCGCAGACGCCACACCCCCTCCCAGTCTTACTGGTTGGTGTTTCCGCTTCTCATGGTGCTTCTTTAGCATTATCTTCAGGTCACTGTCGCCCAGTTCTATTTTATCTGAGAGAAATGAACCAAACCACACGCACCAGGTCACTCACTACCACAATGCTCCAATGTGCATCTTTTTGGTCACTTGTGACATTCAAAAGTAAAATAAAAGTTTTATGAAATAAAATAAAAGTTTCCCTACTGACTCCTGTGAACTATAAGGGCCAAAAATCTTGAAAGGGACACAGGATCCACACTTTCGCTTTCTGGGACCTTAGCAAATGGCTTCAGTTCCTCAGCTGGTCCTAAAACACACTGACACTTCTTAACATTCTTGGATTCCCATTCCAAACAAAAATTTTTTTCCAATTTCACAGACGTTCTGAAGCATTACTACAGCTAAGGTTAGCCTTCTTGTTCCATTACTGAACTGTCCCCTAGCATGCTATTTTAATATTCTGGTTTCTTCAGTAAAAAATACTGCCTGATCTGCTGAGGAAAATTTTCAAAACAAAGAAAAGAAGGCAGGCCTACCCCCAGATGTAAAAAAGTGGAATAGTACAAAAACTTCTCCAAACTGCGTAGTTCTAAGGAGCTCTGCCTTGTTTTCCCGGCAGGGAGATCTAGTCCCACCTCCCTCTAAAGGAGCTCTCAGATCTATGTTGTTACTTCCCAGGATGGCGGGAGATAAGCTCAGTTCTCACCTGCAGTTTTCATATCCGTAGTTGAAAGCGTGGGCACCACCCTCAGGGGCACCGCAGGACTAGGAGAACGCGCTGGAGAGCTTGGAAGCCATGAGCTGAGATCTTCAAAAGAAAATTTTTCTTGTAAATCCAACGTGGCTGTGGACTCCAATAGGGGAGATTGGGTAAGTGGCCATTTGGATTCAAAAGGCTAAGCCAACAACGTGGAGGTCAGGGTTCCACATTCCTTTCTGACCCTTCCCCAGACGTGCTGGAGGAGACTTAGGTCATATAAATGGCTCTTCCAGGAAGAGAGACGTCAACAGAGTGATGGGGTCGCATTGCAGCAGGCCAACAGTCACTACTACTCTCCTGTAAGGGGAAAAGCAGTTCTCTCAAGTGGCACAGTGGGACCGGTCAGGCCTACTGTGGGGACAGCCCTGTCATGCAGGGATTTGTCCATAAGTTCTTACCTAAACTCAAATGCCATGCGACCAAAAGGGTAAAAGGGCACCTAGTCACTCCCACCTAACAGCAATGTCTCAGCGACCCAAAGACCAAGGGCTTCTGAGTCCCACTGCCCACCCCCCAACAAGAAAACTTAGAGGGCTTCTTTGCTGAGGAGATAATGGCTACCACTGGCTCCAGCCGGACAGACAAGTAGCTGGTGTAAATCTAGGACCCAGCTATCCCAAGGACCCGAGGACACTCACCCTCTTCATCAGATGACAGCGCGGTGTCACCACACTCCTCCTTCACTTCCCTCAAGACCTTCAAGTAACGCTGCTGGGTCCGCCACTCCCGCTCCTCAGGGGTACGAGACGGTGAAGGGCGCTTCTGCCGGAAGGAAAGGGCCGGGCCACTCTGCCGGGCCATCTCCAAGAGATCCTACACAGACATCAGGCAGAGTACGTCATAATGTAGACCTTCTTAAGGAAACAATGGGCAGTCTGTATTCTTTTCAATTCCTTTCCTCCAGATCACAATGAAAGATGCACATATGATTATGTCCAAATAAAAAGAACATATATTGATTATCACATGGCAAAAACTCCCAAATCTGAGTGTTGAATTGCTTTACCAAGAATGAACACTAATACAAGATACCCACGTATTTCTATACCAAAGCTTAAAGAACTACTGAACTACTTCAGGTCAAAACATTGTGCCTCTAAGAATTATTCAGCTGGTCCAGACCAACGGGCCAGCGGGCCACACGCCCAGCACCACGCTCAGGGGCCTGAATGCTCCCGTGCCAACTTAAAGCATCAGGGCTTCCCTTACTAACCATGATGGGGCTCAGCACCTATAGTTCAAGCAGCTTGGGTGCCAGCCACATACACCAGAGCTGGTGGGTTCGAGCCCAGCCAGGGCCTGCCAAACAACAATGACAATTACAACCAAAAAATAGCCGGATATTGTGGTGGGCACCTGTAGTCCCAGCTACTTGGAAGGCTGAGGCAAAAGAATTGCTTATGCCCAAGAGTTTGAGGTTGTTGTGAGCTGTGATGCCACAGCACTCTACAGAGGGTGACATAGTGAGACTCTGTCTCAAAATAAATAAATAAATAAAAATAACCACGATGGATCTGAAGTCACTTGGCCTGTGCGCTCGCATGCCAACTCCAGAGCATCACGGCTTTCCTTCACAACCACGATGAATCTGAAATCCACTCGCTTTTTTTTTTTTTTGGTAAATATTAAAGCTACTTTATTTCATCAATTTCAAGAAGCACTTCTTTGTCATATTTTAACACCTGTGAAATCAGGATACATCTTAAAAATGATCCTGAGACAGGATGACAGGCTAATCGTGTGCACATTAACTGCACTTTTTTTTTGGTGGCATCTCTTATATTTTGCATTTCTGCCTCTTCTCCAACTCACGACAGCTTAGTTCACTGCCCAGGGTTACCAAGTTTCCAGCAGCACTTACACTCCGGGAAGCAAGAATCTGCTTCAGCAGCCGATGGAAATACTGCTGCTGGGAGCTGAGGTAGCGCTTGTACTGTGACTTGAAGCAGAGCTGCCGATACTTGACCACCTCAGGGTTAAAGTGTCCATCTGAAAAAAACAAAGGTACAACTTCACATACATCAGTCAACAAACGTTACATGAGTATTTGAAATGTGGCAAAGTCTGCACCACAGAACTTAAGAGAGAACTCAGGAAAGAAAACCAAAAGTAAAAGAATGCTGAAAAGCAGTGACAGCTCACTGCTCAAGGCCAGTAACATAGGAACCACAGTACTGCAACTGTCTTATCAACACCAGAACTGAAACACAGTACCGGTCCCAGTGAAATATGCAGAAATTCCCACCCTGACATTCCTTGTTTGTATCCTTACCTGACGGCTACCATATCGGCTACCACATCCTTTCCATAGACAGGTGCCAGCGGGAGACAGTGCTGAGGCCCTTACAGAACCCTCTACAGACCAGCCAGCTTCCTCACTTCTGCTCTACCAGAAGAGATAGGGAAATGGATCTCTGCCAATCATGGAAGGGAATCCCTCTGCATTAATAACCCATCACAGGAAGAAATGCCCACTTCCACCCCGCAGGACAGGAACAGATCTGAAATTTGCCCTCAGCAGCTGCCGAGTGTCCAGTGTAACAGAACTCAGGGAGACGTGCTGCCCTTTTGGGACTTGCTGCCAAAGCAAAGTCACCCCAGCAAGGACAGAAAAAGGCTTTCTTTGCTTGTATCCACTGGACTGAGAGCAAACTGTGACGAAAGAGTGGTCCCAAACTCTTTGTAACCCCTAATATAATACCTAATTCAGGACAGAATCACCAGAAGCAAAATCCAGTGAGTAAAACAAACTTTTTGGGAAATGAGTTTATCACATCATCCCGAAGTATCACTCTACGAGAGACTGCTTAAGAATCATTAAAATTGTTTCTTAATTATAAAGGAAAAAAGGCTTAAGAGGTCTGGCAGACACCACTGACCCAGAGACCAAACACAGCAGGTGATGGGTGCATTCCCCATATTCTTGCCAAAAGTGTTTAGCCCAAATCTAACCTTGAGGAAACATGAAAACAAATTCTCAGAAAGAATGTTTAACAATTCAAGTGTCCTGGGCTCATCAAAAATATCTGCGTATGAAAGATAACAACAAAAGGTCAGAGGGCCCCAGATTCAAAAAGCTAAAGAGACAGAAGCCCAAGGCCATGTGTGATCCCTGAGAGATCTTGTTTAAACAACAAGAAAGGACACCTCAGGAACAAGGGAGGAAATCTGGACATGGAATAGTCTACATCATTTCCTCAATGAAAATTTCTTAGATGAGATTAACAGAGTCAATTATGTGGGAGAAAGTCCTTAAAATACATGTGCATGCTTAAGTGCTTGGTGGTGAAGTATCATGATTTCTGCAGCCAAAAAAAAAGTGCATGTGTGTATATGTATATATATATATATACGCACACATATATATGTAATAAAGCAAATGGCAAGCTGTTTTTAAAAATTTTTACAGATTACGGGCAGTGCCTGAGGCTCAGTGAGTAGGACACCAGCCCCATATACCGAGGGTGGCAGGTTCAAACCTGGCCCTGACCAAACCACAACAAAAAAATAGCTGGGCATTATGGCGGGTGCCTGTAGTCCCAGCTACTCAGGAGGCTGAGGCAAGAGAATCACCTAAGCCCAAGAGCTGGAGGTTGCTGTGAGCTGTGACACCATGGCACTCTACTGAGGGTGACAAAATGAGACTACCTCTTTAAAAAAAAAATTTTATACATTAGTTATAATGGTTACCTCTGGGATGCTGGAAATATTTTGTTTCTTGAACTGGGTGGTAGTTACACAGCTGAACAGGTTACACAGTTCTTATTAAGTATTTTCTATATAAGTCAATACATTACTACTTTTTTTTAAATGGCCTAGGCAGCAAAGTGTTACTCAAAACTGCTCTCTGTTGGCTCAGTATGTATACATGGAAATAGAATAAAATGATGAAAGAAATATCATGTAAGTGAATGCCCTCCTCCCCCTCTCAAATAAGAACGCTGAGCCACAGACCTCGAAAAAGCTTCTGGGCGATGTGCAGAGGGTTTCCGAAGCGGAAGTTCTCTCCACTGAACAGGGCCAGGATGAGCTCATTCTGCTGCTCCAGGCCGTCTTCAGGAAAGTGAGGCAGGAACTGCTGGAGGTGTTGACGCTGAGAGTCACTTAGCACTTCCTGCCAGGTGGAGAGACTGACGACATCAAAGAATATCTCAGGCTAGGAGAAAAGGAAAAATGAGTAAGAGAAAAACGCGTTTTTAAGGCTCAGCATCTTTAAGTCCATTCACATTCGCTGGGCAACTACCACTATCTTCCAAGTTTTTAAGTTTTTTAAACAAACTAAATTTTCACTAAATTTCCAAAGATACTCAATTCTCCAAACTTACTGGTTACTAAAGACTAATATAGAGCACAGTCTTGTACCCAACAGTAAATAACAATCCAGAGGAAAATGATCACAGCGGAGAGAATCCCATTTGGAAACCTTCTCTGCCAACAAGGTGGACGTCTGAATTCAGCTTAAACTGAGTGGCAGGGAAAGGTTAACACAGGAAGAAAGAAATTCTTTCCACCTCAATTCGAGGTTGCCTGCTAAGAGTGGAGGAGGATGGAGTTCCATTTCCAACTCACTGGTTAATAACCTGGGCAGCTTCCATGTTCCAAGTACCAAGCTAGACTGGCATGTACGCTGTCCAAGTGGGGAACAATTAAACACGCAAAGTGGCATAAGAAGTGCCATGTGTATAAAGGCACATCACATCCCACACTTGGGATGTCAGACAACACCCACTAGACAAAGTGACATGGAACACAGAAGAGGAAGCTGGGCACAGGGGCTGATGCGTGCAACCACAAAGTGTTACAACCCCAGCCAAGAGTTCGAAACCAGCCTAGGAAACATAACAAGACTTCATTTCTCTAAAAAAAAAAAAAAAAAAAAAATAGCCAGGCATAGGGGCAGGTGGCTGCAGTCCCAGGTGCTCCGGATGCTGAGGTGGGAGGATCGCTTGTGCCTAGGAGTCTGACACTGTAGTGAGCCAGAGGGAAGAGATGGGAAGGGATAGGCAGGGGGCACAAATGGTTTGCATTTCATATTATATGTGGTACATTTCACTTTGGTTTTCTTTAAAGAAGAGTTTAGCAACATTTGGCTAGTCCAAGGACAGGGAGGGAGGAAGGTAGCAGACAGTGGAGAGAGGAAAGACGTGTAGATGTGTTAGGTAGAGCCACTGAAGGGTTCGAGCAGGAGACGACCCAGAGATCAGACCATCTACACCAGGTGCCTTCGCACGAACGTACCAGAAGCACCTCAGACACAACGTCCAAGACCTTCCCCTGCACACCTACCTTTGCACATCATTTCATTCTAAGCATCTAACTCGGCGTCTGGCATAGAGTAGGTATTTAATAAAGCCAGCATCTGTGGACTAACAACATAAAAAGACAGGCACACTGGTGGCTTTCATGTTATCTACAATGTCTGACATACGATGAAAGAAGAATGTGAAACAACTATGACTAAACAAAGTTAATCTCAAACTGGGTGCAGCAATGAATGTTTGCTATATTATACACGATACGCATCTCTATGTTCAAAACATGGCAAAACAAAATACATAATTAAATGTTTCCCATGCATAGTGGTTTGCACATAATGAACACTTAATAAATGGCAATCATCTTAATAAAGAGGATGACTTCACATCCTGCCTAGGAAAGTGGCCAAGAGCATGCTGACAACCCATCCGGGGCTGTACTACTATCTAACCAGTACTAGTATTAACTGCTATTTATGCTGACAACCTATCCGGGGCTGTACTACTATCTAACCAGTACTACTATTAACTATATTTACCTATGGACAGAGGAATTATGTTTAGATTCTGTTTAATGATTCACAACACAGCATCCATTTTCATGTAACACAAATGTAATCTCGCTTTAAAATATGCAGCTTTTTTTAATTGATAAAAATCATGAGTTCAAAATAAAGCTTAAAGAAAAGGTACAGGGGTGGAGAGTCTGTGGTCTTGGGGCCACAAGTGGCTTTCTGGATCCTTGTACATGGCCCTTTGACCACATCCAAATTTAACAGAACAAACTCGTTTTATTTTTCAATGCCAGGATAGAGTGCCATGACTCGCTCACAGCAACCTCAAACTCCTGAGTTCAAGTAATCCTGCCTCAGCCTCCTGAGTACCTGGGACTACAGGTGCCCGCAATACCTAGGTAGTTTTTCTAACTTTAGTAGAGATGGGGTCTTGCTTTTGCTCAAGTTGATCTTGAATTCCTGAGCTCCAGGGATCCTCCAGCCTCAGCCTTCAGGAGTTACCAGGATTAGAGGTGTCTGAGCCACTACACCCAGTCCCTTTTAATAAAAGAGATCTGCTCTGGGAAGTTTGGTTTCGGTTGAGGTGCTACACTTGGGGATCCGAAAGCCCACGTGTAGCCTTGAGGCTTTAGAACAGTAGTTCTCAAGCTTCCTAATGCCGCTACCCTTTAATACAGTTCCTCATGTTGTGGTGACCCCCAACCATAAACTTATTTTTGTTGCTAGGGTTGCAGCATTAGGAAGATTGAAAACCACTGCTTTAGAGTATCTGTTAGAGAGAAGCTGAGAGAGGAAAAGATTGCCTGGTGTGACCACTTACGTCCTCCAGAAGGTCCTCAGGCAGACTAACCCTGGTGCCCCCCAGGAGGCAGTCCTCCATGATCCTCGAGCCGTGGCCATCTCCACAGGGACCAAGTTCCAGGGGATCTGTCAGCATGTGGTCTAAGGAATCCATCGTTTATTCCACAGTTCCTCTAGACAAGTACATCCATCTGGAGAATAAAGGCAGAAATCTCAGGGACCTCCCTGATGCTAACCCTAACAACATCAGGCCCCGTCTACTGAAAATAACTACAGCAGCTCTTCTCCCTCCTCCTAGCATTTCGTTCCCACTGGAATTTTCAAGTCTTATCTAATAGGGCTCTTTTCTAAGAATGCTTCTACAGTAAATCTTAAATTCATAAATCTCTTCTACTTTCACTCTATAGATGAGAAAATGACCCTCAGACAATAAATGATAAACAGATCACAGCCCATAATTCAGACTCCGCAGACCAATAATCTCTCTACTACAACATAACCTCTTTAACAACTGTTAGTTTTTAGCAATTAGTTCTTTCTTGTCCTTTCACAAAAAGAAAAAGTTCACTGAAAAGACACACACTAAATTTCAGACACTAATAGTAACAGTTATGCATGAGGGCCTATCAAATCTCATTTAATTCCTGCAACTGTGCAAGGCAAGGTTATTACATCCGTTCTACAGATTTTAGAACTAAAGTCAGATTAAAAAAACTTCACCGGCTCGGCGCCTATAGCTCAACCGGCTAAGGCGCC